GATCCTGATCAGCTCCGACTTCCTGGACGCCAGCGGAAAAGTTCTCCGGAGCTGTTTGATGCTGCGAAACAACGACTTGACGGCCTGCGCGAAGAAATTGTCACAGAGGTCTTTGGGGATCGCCAGTATATCATGACGGGGTCTTATATCATGCAAGATGATATTGTTGTCACATTAGCGCAATACGCTCGTCGGATGGTCTCTGTTCAGGATATCAAACAGCGTGTTCGGTGGCACTGGGCTGCCAAGTACGGTCAGAGAGTGGTTGATGCTCTAAAGGAGGTCGCTGCGGAGTACCCAGATGCAGGACAGGAAGCACGTGAGGCTGCAGTGCGTGAGCGTGCACTCAAAGCTTTACTTGGCATGGCGAAGAAGGATTTCCAGGAAAAGATTACTAAAATTTCAGATGCATGTTTCAAGGCCGTCGAATCTTGCACTCGGTCTGTAGACAACCCAGGTCAGGTCTGCAAGGCGTTTTTGTGACTGCCACGTAGGACTGTAAGTGCTCGTTCTTCATCGTAGTCACTTGCTAACTTGTTTGAAAGACATATCCGGATTATTATGAACTGATCACCGAACCTATATCAATGGCGAATATTCGTACTAACGTCAAACAAGGAAAGGTCTACGCCTCAGTCTCACAGTACGCCGAAGCCTGGTGTCGTATGTTTAGGAACGCCCGAGTATACAACAGGGAAGGTTCCCAAATCTATGAGGATGCCAAAGCCCTCGAGAGTGTGTTTCTCTCAGCACTCCGTGATGCCACTCGCATTCACGGCATTGTACTAGAGGAGGATGAACTGGAGTTTGGATGGGATGACGATCCTGAGGTTGAATTAAGGTACGTGTTCATCCTTTTTCTGTTTCATTCTACAGTGCTCATTTCACGTATAGTGTGGTTATATAGGAGTATTTTATATGGCAATGCGTATTAGTCTTCATCAAAATCATCTACGATAGACATAATGTTGTTCAAGTATTCATATGGCTCCTCCTCATCAGCTTCAAGATCTTCCTGGGTAATTTCGTACGTTTCTACGTTGGTTTCTCTGTCTCCGTTCATGGTGGACCCTGAGTCCCCTATGGTCGGTTCTACTTGTCCAAGATTTTCGGCGATTCTGGAGTCTTTTCGGAATGCCTGAAATGCAGTACGGGTGTCAGCATATTTGGAGCCCTCACCAAGTAAATCACGTCTTCCATCAATGTACTGGTTGGTATCCCGATTCAGGACATAGCTCTGGATCTCGTTATCTTCCAAAGCCTTTGAAAGGTGATCGATTTCCTTTGACATGTCTGGAACCGTGTGCTTAGTCCCAAAGCCAGGTATTTCGAAGTGTTTTTGGACAGTACGCATGGCATTTCGGAGCTCGTAAATGCAGACTGTGATCATTGCTAACCAATCCCAGCTTCGATTTGATCCTTTCGCATTATAGATGGTCTGGAACAATCGTTAAATAATAGGTGGGACATTCAAATGGTAACATACTTTTGCCCAGAGGTTTTGATGTTCTTGAAGCAGGTCAATCTCTTTGAACGAGTTTGCTCGTCCAGTGAGATTCACAAGCCAGTTATGTAGATAGAACTTCCTGCATATGCGGCGAGGTGAGTACCAGTCTATATAGAGCAATTGTGAACTCACCGCAGCTTTTCTGGAAAGGTCGCAATGCGTCCCAGAGTCTCGAAAATGACATTGGCGTACTTTGGCATGGTCTTCGGCGTGCGCATCATGACCATCCAAACCTTGAGTACATTGACAACACGACCGATATCGCCAGCTTTTATAGCGTGCACTAGCTCGATGTAAAACAATGCGTCTCGGTTATACAAAACCGTGTTCTCCAAAGTGGTATCTCGGTAAGGTTTCTTCTTCAACGTTTCGTATGCCTTTGAGCTGAACAAGTTCCTGTACACTTCTTCAGCAACTCGGTTGAACTCCTCCTTCGTCGCTGCTTTTGCCCACTTAGCAAGATTGTCCTGCCCGCAGAAAATTCGGAAACCATCTTTCACATGTGCAGCTGATGATATTTGCAGAAGCTCGTGTGTTTGCTTCCATGGGGCTGCTTTTGAAGACTGCCAGCCTGCGACAATGTTTTTGCGATTCAGATAGTTGTTTTCCCACCAGAGACCAGCACCAGGATGCTTCGAGTTGGGCTTTCCCCAGTGCTCATTGAGCACGAGTCGTGAGCCAGCCATTTTTGCATGGAATAGACCAAATCGGCGAATTGAAGCTTTCATCCCTTCGATAGGATCTTCGCTATTTCTGCGAGCAGCTTCAACCTTTGTTTAGGTTAGTTTACAGCCCAGTAATTGAGATGAGGCACTCACTTTGTCCACTAGTGAATCAGTGAGTAAATCTCCATCGCTAAAGTGGAGGCCGTGCTTTTCGAGGTCTTCGTCAGTTATGCCTAGGTTTCGGAGGATGATCCTGTAGATGCGGATAGTCCCTTCGATGCTGGACTCTTCTTCGTGCATTGCAGGTAAGGGCCACTGCTCGGTGATGTGAACTTCGATCTGATCTACTTCAGGACAGGGTTCGAAGGCTGCTTTCAAGTGTGTCAGTCCATCGATGACCTCAAGCGCAATTCGCTTCAACTGCCATATACAGCATTCTGTCAGCTCGGCAATGCCTTTGGGAGTGGGAAGGACCTGGTCATCGGTATATTCGAACCTAGGGTTTGCACTGGTGCGTGGTGGCTTCATTGAAAGGGGAAGGGTTCCGTGAGGGACACGTGTAGATTTTGTATAAGGGTCCCACATTTGGATGAGACTCGCAGTGCAACCATTATCGAAATGGCTAAGAGAGTCAAGTCTCTGAGAAGCGACACGGAATGCTATATTGAGGTTATCCCACACGATTGAGCACATAGAGGCCTTGATAGTTGCACGGTACGTTTTCTGTGCCTCTTTCGATAGCTTTCGGAGATGGTCCATGGCTGATGTATATGACAGACAGAGTCCTGCATGTGCAAAGACTTCCATTTCGCGCTTTGCTGCACCTGAACCAATCAAGAACATGCTAATGACTGCTTGGAAGTTGTTCGCTTTCTGTGAACGCAGAATTGCCATCATTGCACAGACGGTAACGAATATCTTGAAGGAATTGTGAGATATAGTGACTACTATGAATGTAACACTGAATGTCTTACCAGGTTCTCATTTCGTCGTACGTCCTTCTTACGATCTGGATTGTCACTGATCTGAGTAAGTGCCTCCCATATATTAGGTGCTCTTTCATGAATTTTGGTGGTCATTTCGGATAGCGAGAACGTTTCGAGCAATTCTTGGACCGTGGTGCCCTTCTGCCTCGTAAACAACTCCTGAATTGCCTTTCCCTCCTTTGCAAACAGGTCCTTCATAACGGGAGGGATAGCATCTGGAACCTCTTCTAAAATTTTCCCAACAATCTTCGCCCCTCTACTCTTTAATGCGCGCTTGATGTTTGCCCGGATTTGGTTGTCCCCACCATCGATATCGCAAAGGGTGTCAATTGCACTGGCCAAGTTCTCCACTCCGGCGCCACCATCTGCTTCGGGTTTCGTGATATTGGCAATAAGACCAAGCAGCCTATTGAGTTCCATCTTCTTTCTTGCTTGCTTCACCTCTTCTGCTTTTTTCCACCTCGCTTGGACTTTAGCATTCTCCATCTGCTTTTCCTCCAGCTTTTTCGCAGCAGCTGCATCCATTTTTCGTTGAACTTCTGATGCTCTTGCTTGTTCAAATGACGAACCGAGTCCTTTCCTTGGACTCTTCTTTGGTCGGCCAGGACGTTTGATAGGAGATGACTCCCACTGTATGGGGGAACTCTGGGGTTCCACTGCCGTGGATCGTTGGGGAGTAGCGGGAGTGGCAGGTGGTGGAATGAGTGGTAATAGAGGTATATCATCGTCGTTAACAGCTATCGATGAAGGCCCTGGTTGCGGAGAACTAGGCAAACTGATAGTTGCCTGAAATAAGTCAATGCCTGGGTCAGCGACAGGAGATTCATAGCGTGAGCGTGGCTTCTTTTTGGGATGGCTTATTGAGGTAGGGGGCTTGTAGTCAGCCTCAGAAGCACTCAGACGTCGTTTCGGTGGTGGCATTGAGAGATAGTTTCATTAGGGGCTACTCGAGTGGAAGAATGTTATCTGTGATCAGTTTCAGAATTAATTTGGCTGTAGACCTCTCATTTCAAACCCGATAAAAATAAAAATATGAACTCGTTAATCGCCGTGAAAATCTACACAAAACTGTCTGTTCAGATCTAATATTATTTGTGTTTAAAAAATGAGCCTTCAGAAATTTCTCTAAGTTCATAAGTCGTGTGCGAAAAATGGTTGACTGTGCCAAAAGGGCCGGATAATCTACCAGTCGGCTGTTCAGCCCGACACTTCGATCGATTGTCATTGAAGTGGAAAAACCGGGCCGTACACAGCTGAGTGGTTCGAGTCTAGGAAAATGGTGTACTTACGATCAAAGCGCTTGATCCAAATTCCGAGTCGAAATTCCGAGTCGATTCTACGGCGATTCTAAAGCGTTTTTGAATTTCTGAATCGGCCTAAAATCGGTTCTCAGCTTCGACCAGACATCATGTAGCTACGATTCACCCATTGCTTCACCTGTCGCTTCATCTGCACTGATTCTCAGATAATATTTTATTATAGATTTATGAAAAATCAATTTATTTTCACCTAGCTGGTAAAGTAACTGTCATACATAAACTGCAAAGCTTACAGGGGTCAGACCTTGCCTTCCGGGATTCAGGCTCACAAGGGGTTTAAATCAAGGTTTAAATGTTCATGGCAAATTTTTGCTGCTGATGAGCCAAACCCACCATGCAGCCAAAGAAGCCTTCGCCACATTCAACTTGCTCATTCCGCTTGCCTAAAAGACGGTGGCAAGTGGATTACAAGAAATACTACTAAGGCCTACACACTTATGTGAAGTTGAATCGCGATTTTGGACTTTTGGAATGACTTGTGAATCAAGCGCTTTGAGTCTACCTATTATTCACTTAAAGCTATTCCGATATGGTGTAGTGGCTAACATTATCGCCTCTCATTTTCTTGCGACTGAAGGTCTGCGCGATAGCCCGGGGTTCGATTCCCCGTGTCGGAATGTCCAGTATCCAATATCGGGTGAATCGAGTTTTTTAAATTTCAAATTTATTTATTATTCGATACACCAGGCAGTCACTTCAGATCCTACAACCAAAGATTGCATCGAGATGCAAAGAGTCTGTTATGTATGTAGTACACTTATGCAACTGTACTTTGAATACACTTTCTTTAGACCCATCACCCTAGAAGAGCAGGTTTACTCTTCTTCTTCTTCTTGCTGTCTTTCGCAAAGGACCGCCAGGAATCCACACGTTGGTCACGGTTTGCTGGATAGGATGAGGATCAGATGAGCGAGACGAAGTGGGGATGTACATACCTTCCCATGCCTTATCGTCCTCTGCCTTCCGCTTCCTACTTGCCACCTCCTCGTCTTTCTTCCGTGCTTCCAGTCCTTCATTAGCGAGTGCAAGCTGCAGAGCTCTGGACGACGAGTTAGATCACCATCCACATCATAAGGGTACTAGAACTCACTTCCTCCTCCGTAGCTCCTCGTCAATTAAAAGCTCTTTAGTCTTCGCTCTGACCCTGTCTCTCCAAGCTTTAACTCCGCCTAGTGTTCTGACCTCCTCGCTTGCTTCAAGCTCCTTGATATCCTTGCTATTTAAAGTCCATCCCATCTCCCGCACGAGTACTGCCCGTGCTTGAGCTATAATGGCATCCAGATCGTCTCGCTTGGGCTTGTCTGAAAGCTCGGATTCTGCTTTTTTGAGTATGTCAAAAGCCTCGGGAGCTCGGGGATGAGGAGTCTTGTCCGGGTGAATGACTGTCAGACATGAAGTAAGAAACGATAATGTGGGGAATGGATTGAGATTTACTGACACAATGATAAATGCCTGTACTTTTTCTTGATATCGTCTTGAGTTGCGGTTTCGTCCAGATCCAAAATGTCGTATGGGCTAATATAAGGTATGAGACACTATAAATCTTCAACGAGTACAGAGAACTCACTTTAATTTAAAAGCCTTCAATATCCTCTCGACCTCGACTTCCCTCTGAAAAGCTGAAGCCTCTCTGGATAGGAGTTTCTCTAGTTCCGCATCTACTTGTGTCGAGGCTGCTTCAGTTGTTGAGGATGGTCCAGCGATAGCATTTTTCGAAGACATGGTTAAATAAGAGCGGAGGTCCGAAGTGGTCAAGAGCAAGAAAGGAATTAGCGCCTTGGTCACAAATGTTTCGTTCTTCTCTCCTACTTCGACGCGCACAGTCCTCACTATATAATAATGTCAGACAAAGACCTTTCCACTGCATTATCTTGCTTCCAAGTCGGTTGAATAATCCTAGTACAATTGTGAGTGCATCAAGTCTCATTTTCTAAAAGTTTATTTCACTTGTATAGACATGCTATAATAGATCTACACTATGGGCGCGTTCAATGGCAACCGATTCCAACTCGGATAAATCATCATCGTCGTCGTCCAATTCTCAACGGCCCAGAGCTAGAGGTCCTATACCGCAATACCGAAATAGAGAAGAGATGTACGCCGACCGAGCACGGAAAAATCGCTCGCTATTGATGTATACTGGAGCAATTGTAAGTCGACTAACCTCCTCGTTGTTTACATATCTAGATTAACGCGTTATTCTGGTGAATAGATGATCTCTTTCCTAGGTCTTACCTATGCCGCCGTTCCCCTCTACCGACTGTTCTGCTCTGCAACAGGTTTCGCTGGCACACCCAGTACGCGGACCCAGGCCGCTCCAGGGCCTGAATTCCCTGAATGGGTGCCGGAATGGCTTAAAACACTCCTTACACCTTCATCTACCCAAGACCGTTTTGCACCGTCGAGATTAATTGCTGTGGACCCAGCAGATAATCCAAAGTCGAGGAGAATCAAGGTTTCTTTTACATCTAGCACGTCGACATCGCTTCCTTGGACGTTTAAACCTGCTCAACATCATGTTTATGTTCTTCCCGGTACGTTCCGAGTCTAGTTCAATCAGTCGACATTAAAGAGTTGACAAACGTATGTCCGTTAGGCGAAAGCTCCCTGGCGTTCTTCACAGCGAAGAATAATAGTAAAGAGGATATTATAGGTGTTGCGACTTATAATGTTACACCGGATCGCGTGAGTATCTCGTTCCTTCTCTATGAAGCTTTTCTAACGTATCCTCTCCTCTCATCCGCATCCATTTCCAATGACAGATCGCACCCTACTTCTCCAAAATCGAATGTTTCTGCTTCGACGAACAAAAACTTCTTCCTAATGAAACCGTAGACATGCCTCTACTATTCTTCATTGACAAGGACGTTCTAGACGATCCTAGTTGTAGACATGTCGAAGACGTTGTGCTGAGTTATACGTTCTTTCGGTAAGCTAGTGGATTATACACCACCTCGAAATGTCACTGACCATTCCTTCCTTCTAATATTTAGAGCACGAAGAAATAATCAAGGTCACCTAGAACCTGATGCACCAGAAGAAGTGATCCAAAAATCACTTGGTTTCGAGTCGTATGAATTGGCGAAGAAGGCTTCAGAGTCCAAGACTGTGTCAGTATCGGGCAATGATCAGGCTTAGGTGGACTGACAGGTCCATGAACATCTGCTCCGCTATTATACTAGGTATCTGCCTAGAAATTGGCTCCGAGTCGGAAATACCACTACGCTTACAGTAAAAGTACGCAATGCCCCTCTCAAATATAATTCCATTCGAGTACAAAGAAGAGGGAGGAAAGTTGAAATCATGCCGTAAGCTCAATGCTTCCTTTCTGAGCACTCTGTTTGCTCTCAAAGGAAGACCAGTTTACCTCGAACGTCAATCAAAAAATGCGACTCATTTCAAGCCCAAACTGGAGCATAATATTATTGATGATAATATAGCGTTTGTAGGCCGACTAGCTCAGCTGGTTAGAGCGTCGTGCTAATATTGCTGAACCTTGATGAATATTACGCGAAGGTCTTGGGTTCGATCCCCACGTTGGCCACTATGCTATGCAAGACGATGCAGTGTTACTTACCTTTTTTTGCTTATTACATTTCACAAAAAAAAAAACACTCAATAGAACCTTCCATCTTTACGAGGATGGAAAGGAGTGGAGGACTCAACAATTTATTCCAGCCACTCTGTTAAAGGTGTCCCTAGCTCGAAAGCTAACGGTTCCTTCGCCGCTCGTGGATGTGAATGATCGAGGTAGCGGGCTCTTTGACTGGTGGTTCAGCGTACTGTAACCAGCGGTGGTGAGGACGTCAACGTTAACGGGCTGAAGTGGTTTGCCCTAGATATCCTCTATGTATATATTTATGTAGTCAGTAGCAAGTCTAGAAGGTGTCGCAGTTGTGCGCCTACTTTCGGACATGCCAATCCAGACCTCAATAAAATAAGAATGTATTTGCGGCTGAGAGCCCTTGCATTGAAAAATAACAGCACTGTAGCTGACTCTGTATCTCGTATAGTATTTGCTGGGGAAATATTTATGATTGTATCTTCAGCTGGTATCTTGCATTTTTCCCGGGAGTCTCGAGGGCGTTAACGTCAACGGGCCTGGAGTCACGGTGGTTTTTCTTGAGACAGGGTGGTCTGTAGTGAGGCATGAGTCCCGATGCACCATATGATTCTTGATCAGTGTGACTTCATGAATTCCACCTCAATCCTGAATAACACAAAAACGTAAGTTGGTTTGAAGAGCCCGACCTGCTGGGTGTCGAAGATAATATATGTCGCTGTAGTATACTACTCGAATACTGTAACCTGCTGTGTGGGTGCATTTCTTAGCAAAGCTGGATGAATCCCCTTGGACCGCTGTATCGATATTAAAAATATGCAAGTTGAAGAAGAGCAAACGATATTATCATACGATGTCCTTTTCAACGTCGGCGGCGGCGGAGAGACATTGACGGTAACGGTCTAAATTAGTCTTCGACAGCTTGAGCTCATGAAGAACGGAGTCCTCCTTATCAAAGGCATCAAAATACTACAGCTGGATCTAGTATCTCGTATACTTACCACTGTACCTATTCGACAGCTTGAGCTCATGAAGAACGAAGTCCTCCTTATCGTAGGCATCAAAATACTACAGCTCAATCTAATGTCTCGTATACTTACCATTGTGCCTATTTTCTCAGCAGAAGTGAAGGAATGGTTCTGAACCTGCGTAAGTAGGACCCCCGTATCAATATTAAAATAATTGCGACTTATGAAGGGGAAATGATGCTACTTACCCTGGCATCTTTCATTTCTTTACGAACGTAGGGTTCCCCTGTTGTACTTACCGGTGCCTGTCCCATGATCTTGCCTATCTCGCGCTCGTTTTTTGACCTGTTCTCGCCCTAATCCGAAGATAACCGACGTCTTATAGTCGCCCGAGGCATCCGATGGCCTGTGTTCCGAGGTGCAGATCAGCCTAGAGATCTGTCGAACAGTCGACGGCCTGCAGATGCATTTTCTGCGATTAATTTCATGAAATGAAGAGATGCAGTTTCCGACGAAACTTCTTGGACCTTCTGTTGGTTTACGATGTTTGATTAAAGCGTTCTTGATATCAGTGATCAGCAGTGCAGGACGAGAGAGAGTTAGATGACGCATACAAAATGAAAGAAGGCTCTGAGATAACAGTCAGTAGTACCTTTAACAAACTAGCAAATCTCGTTCATTCCCAGATAAAGTTTCCTTCTCGGAAGGAACTGAGGTCCCTGGTGGTTCCTGTAACCTGAAGCCAACAGAACGGCGCGACTAGCAAAAACTGAACTGCTCTCCGCTGCTTCGAACCGCTGCGTCGCATATACCGGAGCAAACTGAATAGAGCACAACCATCATGATGGCTATCTTTGTTTAGGAAAAGAATGCGTTGGCCATCGTATATGCCATGTCACGGGAAGCGTAACACGATGCGACCAGCAACGGGAGAGATGTCCTATGTATTTACTTGCGGGTGTGAAAGCCAAATGGCAATTGATCGAGGACGGACAGAGCTTGAGAAAAAGGTGATCTATTAGTATGTATGTGCTTGCCGGCCTAAGTGGACGCCAAAATCCCAATGTGTACTTTTTTGAATCCACGC